CCCAGAGCCGGTCTGGACGATATGAAGAGGAAAAATTCTTGACCCTACCGGGACTAGAACTCTGACCTCCTCGGATGTCCAGCCCCGTACATATCGTATGATATAATGATTAAATGAATGATTATTTGAAAAGGGTGTGAATTGAAGCGGCCGTGGATGATTTTAAGTCAGTAGCCTGGTATTCGCTTTGAGGGACCTAGGAAGACCACAGAAAGTCTTGGTCAGAACAGCCGGTGTCCTGGCCGAGACGGAAACCGGGCACTTTTCGAATCCGTGTCAAAAGCGTTACCGATGGAGCCAGCTTGACCGGTCGGGTTGTATAAAAGACGGGAAACTTCTTGAGTAACTCAAGGACTAATAGCTTGTTGAAAGGAACTGTGTTCTGTGGTGAGAAGTCGTTATCTTGACCTTTCAAGATGGTGTTTCAAGTGTTTTGTTTACACAGTTAGAGGACGAAAATAACATTGTACACAGTTTCAAAAACGGAATCAGGTAAGACTAGGGGCTCCGCTGAGGAGAATATTTGGTCGGATTAAGCGAAAAGACGCAGCAATCTCCCACATCTTCTGGACAATGGCTGTAAGGTTGTCAGCCTTACGCGCCGGCCACACATTTCATCATCATCATCATCATCATCATCATCATCATCAGTAATCTGTCAAGACGACAGGTCCACAGTCTCTTCCAATTCCTCCACTTAATGCGATCTAGAGCTTTCTCCTTCAAATGACACTATCCTCTTCTGTTCCCAAGGTCATCCAGCATCTTCTTACTTCTTCTTCCTCGTCTTCTTGTTACTTCTATCCGCCCCTCTATCTTTCCTTCGATAATTTCTTTTAGAAGGCAGTTTCTGCGTAAAACATGACCAATCCAATTAGCCTTACGTTTTCTTATTTCGTGTAGGATATTCCTCTGCTCACTGACTCTGAACACTTCTTCATTTCTCACATAATCGGTCCAACTGATCTTCTCCAACACCACATTTCGAAACTTTCCAGAAACTTCCCCAGGAATATTCCTGGTACACATTTCTGTTAGAGGCTGAGTAGGCCTCAGGTCCATAGTGCCACTTTAAGGATTAGGTAAATTGAAAAATCCAACGACCTCGTCGGTAATGAACCCGCGACCTTCCGGCTTGTAGTATAGTTCTTCAACCAGCTACGCTACCGCGTGCCCCTTGATATTTTAATGTACTCATATAATAAACGAATTCTATGCTGTAGGGAGGCAGGATGGCTCAGTCGGTATAGCGATGGCCTACGGGCTGGCCGGCCTGGATTCGATTCTCGGAAAGGGCAAGAGATTTTTCTCTACTGCGCAATGTCTCGAGCGCCTCTGGAGCCCACATAGCATACTGCCTAACGAGCACCGGGAGCTCTTCCCAGGAGGTAAAGCGGCCAGGACGTGAAGCTTATCACTCCATCTTGTGCCGAGATCAGGAATTATCGAACTATACCTCCACTCCCCGATGCGTCGTCATGTGGTGGTGGTTAATTAGTTAATAGCAAGGATAAATTTACCTTTTTACCTTTTTCTATAGTATAGGGAAAGTAATTTAAGAGGGAAGCCCGAGTTAAGGGCAAAGGAATCGAAATTTGTTATCCCAGTGTGAAAGTGTGACAGGCCTCATGAAACATTTGTCTATTTATAGAAATATTTATATCCCTAAACTGTAAAGAAGATAAGTTCGGCGTTTATATTTTGTGCGAGTTCTGTTAGTCCGATCAAAAGTTCTGTTACTGGATCTATTGCGGTAGCGTAGCTGCTGGAGACACTATGCTACAAGCCGGAAGGTCTGAGTTCGATTCCCAATGAGGTCATAAGGTCTTTCTATTCACCTAATCCTTCCAGCCCCACTATGGCCCTGGTGTTTACTCAGCCTCTAATCTGTCTACAGTCTGTGGGACTCTAATGAGTCCCACGAATCTTGCTGGGAGTAAAGGACTGTCAGCGCGTAAGGCTGACAACCTCACCACCATCTGTGATCTGAGTGTCTAGAAAATGTGACAGCCTCGACGTCTCACAGCCCTATGGGCCTCCACAGCCTGTTACAGGGATAGGTTTACCTTTTACTGGATTTATTATAACTATACGAATGAATGGAAAGCGACTGTACGCAGGTGACTTATGAAGTGCCGTGTGCCGACTTCATTTTTCTGGCGTGAATGTGTCGTTTTCTGTCATTTATTGTAGATAATGTCTCTTTATTCAGACGTGTGTCCGTGATATAGTGAGTTGTGAAACGGCCGACGCGAGAAATCAAGTTTGTTCTTCAAGCTCTGTGCGAAATTGGGGAAGCTATGGAAATGATACAGTTACAGTTGGGAGTGAAACTTGAGTGTTTTATTTATCTTCATATATGACCGATATATCCGTTTAGTATGCTGTGCGTCCGACCGAGGTGTCGGAGTTCGAGTCCCGATATGGGCAAGATTTTTCTCCTCTCCACATTGTCCAAACCAGTTCTCGGGCCCACACAGTCTCGTATGTGATGGGTACCGGGGGCTATATTGCCGGGGGATAAAGCAGCCGGGGCATAGAGCTGACCGTTCACCTCCAACTAGTGCCAAGTTCAACGTCAATCTATACATCGTTTTGCCCATACGTCTTCATGGCGCAGTGCTTAAACAGTTAACAGGTGAATTTTATCTTCTGCGCGTCATTTTCTGTCAATCATAAGAGAATAACTGAGTTTCTACTGTAATATTTATAGCCCGGAGAAAGGAAGCTGTGCTCTACATACCCCAAAACTAGTTTTTACTAATGATCGGGTCCACTTTTCTCTAAGTAAAACTTCATTTAAAAAATCTGCATTTCTTTATTCTCTTTTTCTTTGTCTGTCGTACCCTGCCCTTCTAGTTAACGGTACTCAAGTTTTCTGTTTCATTGTCTGTTAGCCACGTGGTATAACTCACTGGGGAGCTTATCAAACTGTTACGGCTCTGTTCGCGTGGAATAACATGGATTTAGAGCCGAATTCATAACTCAATTAAAATTCTCGTGCCTTATTTCACATTACTTACTTATGGAGCCGAGCCCTTCTTGAGAAGCCGCCAGTTGTGCAGCTACTCAAGGATTTCACAGCATTTATGGAACCCTAAAGTCCATTACCATGTTCACAAGAGTCCTCCACTGGTCCCTATCCTGAGCCAGATCAATCCAATCCATACCATTCTTTCTCTAAGATCCATTTTAATATTGTCCACCCACCTACGCCGTGGTCTTCCTAGTGGTGTCTTTCCTTCTGACGTTCCAACCAATATCCTATATGCATTCCTCATCTCCCCCATTCGTGCTACATGTTCTTCCCAACTCTTCCTCCTTGACTTGATCATTCTAATTATACTTGGAGAATTTGTTTCATGTGCCTATAATAATTTTATTTTATTTTTTTTTCATTTTACATCGCCGTTTTGCTCTCTGTCCATGTACGTGATGTGCTCATACTGCAGCGTAACCTTTTCATAAAATTTTCATTGATCACGTTTATCCGCAGAAGTTTGGCCCCGCCCTTTCGGCAGCCATTATGTTCCATTGGCCCCTAGAGACCAGTTTCCTCTCCCATTTTCTTTGTACCTATACCCTTGTTACCCCCACTTCTTAATGTCGTGTCTTGAATAAGAAGCGAAACGTTAGTAGCTCGGTACAAGACTGCACTGCGTCACATCCCGGAAGTTATTAGTCTTCATGAGGAATTACTTAGACAGTTTTATTAGTTCGTTGATTTCAAACTAATAGTTGGTTGAGGCACTATGCTACAGGCCGGAATATCGCGGGTTCCATACCCAGTGAGGCCGTTGGATTTTTCAGTTGACCTAATCCTGCCAGCCGCACTGTAGTCCTGCGGTCGACTCAGCCTCTAACAGAAATGAGTACCAGGAACCTTCCTGGGTGTGATGGGCTGAAACCTCACCGCCATCTCTGAGCCGGTTGTCTAGAAAACGTTAGAGCCTCGACGTCTCACAACGCTAGTGGCCTGGACGGACAATTACAGGGATAGCTTTACCTTTAAGAAAGTTCCATATAAAACTGAAGTGCCCAACGTACGTAAATAAAGTAGCGTAGTTTGAAACTGAAGATGACTAGTTTTTGGCAGAAACGTGGTGTTCCCTAATGTATAATATTTAGTAAATTAACATTGTCACCATTAAATTATTACAGTTACTGGAGTAATATCGAGATTAATGTGGTCTGGTATATGACACCGTGTAGTGTGGTAGGTCTTTACAGAATTTTCGAAACAACCTCTTGCCTCTAACTTCAGGGTAGGACCGTGCCATAGATCGGGCTCTTAGTCGCCGGCTTCCCACCTCTGCGGCCCTGGTTCGAGCCCGGGTTAGGTCATGTAGGTTTTGTGTTAGACAGTGGCACTGGGGCAGGTTTTCTCCGAGTAACTAGGGTTTTCCCCTGCCAATTCTCACTCCACCGTGTGCTCCACAATCACCAATATCCATCATCTGGGGCTGGTACAGTAGGCCAAAAGAGTGACCGCAATACCAAGTGGACTCAGTCTCACCCCAGCAGTAAATAATGATAAAAAATTTCAGGGTGGAAGGCTGAATGATACCTGGACCAAGATCCTCTCTCCTCAGGTCAAGGTAGACGCAGCAGGTTATCTGAATGGTTGTTACAGACTACACAGTTCATCGTCCCCTTAGACCTCGAATATTACGTCATGTGTCGGTTGCATAGCTGTACGGTACTGAACGCTTCCTACCTGAGTAATTCTGTAAATGTCCTCTTCTCAGCTCTATCGCCTGTCCAGCTCTCGTCCCTCACACCGACTGACTGCGGATGTCGGTCAAGAGTAACGATCTTCTTTTTAAAAGTGGAGCAGTCAGGTGCTCAGTGTGATCCATAAACATGTTACCAGAGCAGTTCAATTAGTAACTTTCTTTCAAACGAGATGGTAAAACAGCGCCTGTAATTCTAAATGAAGAGCACCACGTGATATTGACGTTTCAGATGAATATCCTGCCACCGTGTTCACGATCTTCATAGAATAAGCCAAGCAAGCAACAAGCTACACACGTGTGTAAGCCTACATTCGATGATATTAAAGATATATGGGTCTTAATGTTGATACATACTACATAGATTTTTATGGAGTAGAGAAAATTAATTGAATGGTGCATTGTTGTGCCAGACAATGCATATAACGATTATGGGAACGAGGATTCGTCATCGGCAGGAAGTTTGTGACGTAGATCGTCACGTTATTGTTAGAAACTTAGCGTATTCTGGTTTCGGCGCTTCTGGTATTCATTCTCCAGGGGGAAATTCAAACAGAGGACTATTAAGGATGTGTTTGCTATATCTGCGGTAATGAACAGTTCTGTGTTCCGTATTCAGCGCCGTGTAGTTCGTGAACTGACATACTTTCACGCTTGTTTCTTACTCTGAATACTTTTCGACCCTGAGGATGGTGACGACTCATTCCTCCGAAGATTCGGTTGGCCTTCAACGGACTACACGGCGATATAATTCTTCAGCAAAGTCTTCTATACCGTAAGCTTGCCGAAACACCCAGGGTGCGCAATGCAAAGAACCTCAATAACACGGAGAATGACTGATGGAGAATTCTTGAAGGTCACAAACGTTAATATCTAGATAAATATAACTGTAGGAGGAGAAAGGTTGGTATGGTAATTATCTCGTTTCTGTTAAAGGCCATGCTGCCTAGGACATATCGCCTTTTATTATTTATTTGTACAGGATAAACTGCATTTCTATGACTAACAATTCTGGCATTTTAGAATTACATTCAGTTGCAAGACAAGAAGTTATTATAAAATCAAATTACAAAACTCGACTGGGCATAACACATTATTACTTTACCAACGCAGGGGAAGCGTGTCCAGGATATTTACTGTCCAACCGGTAGTATAGTCAGTTCGTGTATCTGTAAAGAAGAGAACATTACAAATCAATACATGGTTTGGAAATGTGAGGAATTGCCACACCAATTTTACTGATAAGTTTTATTATGATTTTATATATCCGCAGTGTATTCCAGACCAGTGATTCACACCTAGAGTTGTGCCTTAACGGTGTGCAAAGAAGGGCTGTAAGGCGGGTTGTAGGTTCTGAGGCCATAGGAGAAAATGGGTTTTCAATGTCAGCAAATTCAGCTAAAATAGTCATTTCTAGCTCACCTCTTCCGTAAGCACGTGTCGAAATTATTAATTCAGGTACTAAGGAGTTAGAGCTATTAGATTTCAATCATTTTGATGCTATCCTTCACCAAATAGAGAACGCCGTGCAGCATTTTCATTTTAATAACTTGAATTTTTTTCACATGTTTACTTTCATACTATCTAAGCTTTGTGTTCGTGTATCAGTAGTTACACGTATATCAGTAAAAAACTGAGGTCATGATATTTTTTAAAGCCAAAAAGGGAACATCACGCCGGAAAGCTTCAGAACTCTTAACATGAACGAGGAAATGTTGAGACAACTGCAGATCCACAAATTACGAAATTTATGGAAGAAGAAATAATATTTCGGGATGACCGTGTTGACAGTATGGGCTCAGACAGGATTCCGAAAAGGGTTCCTCTTCATCGGCCTGAAGGAACAGTAACTGTGAGAAGACTTCTCAAACGGTGGAATGGTTCTGTTTTGTAGTATCACAACAAGTCTCAGTAGGCAAGTTCCTGCAACGGATGGCAGTAGTAGGATCAATATTATTTGTGTGAGTTGAGATGGTCAAAGTCGGGAGCATTAAGAGAATAATCTTCCTTGATATGACGCCTTACAATTCTTCGTTAGATACGTGATGATAGTTTGGGGAAACTTGCTGCTTCCATCTTCACGGTAGAAGATAGAAGATTGAGGCGTGATGTGCCCCTGAAACAGTGGCACTGTCCCAAAAGACAATTTTCTTGACACAGGTTCCATCACCGGGATTCGATTATCAGCAGAAGCAGAGGGTTCTCCCTTCTATAGAGATTTATAACAAGATGACTGCACGTATTGGTGGCCGGAACTTCGCCTATCCCGACTGAAGTTTTGCATGGGGTCCCTGCAGGATCTTCCAGATACTTCCAATTCATCAATCATTTGCTGTCTTACCATTCGCCGCTATACAGTCTAGCTACAGACAGCCTCGTAGTGACCCACAGAAATAAAAGGCAACTTCTGAAGATTGTTCTTAGAGACGAAGCTTGTCGAATTACTGAATAAGTTCCGAATAATCCGAACCGAGGTGTACTTTGCCTGCTTTTGGTTGTGTATATTGAATTTCAACACACTGCCATTGCATTCAAAATCAAGATTAATTTACTGAAAGCTGAACAAACCTGAACATGAGGTGGAACACCCAGAACGTACAAGACACCATCAGCAATATCTTCAGGATTCAGGGATGGTAAGGTGTCCAAAAACTTTTGGGGAGGCATTTCTGTCCTCACCAGTCCAGGACTGACACTCTGTAACATTAAAAATTAGGTGAGCATTTAGAGTACAGTGGTTACTAAGCGTCCGTGTGCCATTTGCTTCAAGTTTCAAGAACTGTTCGATTTTATCCAGAGATTTTTTTTGCGCTTCTCAAAATAAAGATCTTTATATCACTAGAGAGAATTCACCGATTGGTATGTGTAATGCAGATACAGCGAACTTGTAAACGTTTAGATAAAGTTCATGTGGATAAAACGTAGTAATGTCAGTTCCGTAGATCCTTACACTTTGGAACATAGAGCTTCTGGGTTTCCTGTATCGCCTTCCTTTCTAAGCAGAACATTACAGCTCAAACATAACTCTTATCTGTTTCCACTCTCAGCTGAAAATGTTAGGATGACAACGTCAATTCGGTTACTTAACGAATGCCAGTCTGTGATACAGAGTGCTTATATTTACAATCCGGCAATTGAAGTGAGTTCAGAAAACCCGATGGCGTCATTAGAAATGAGAAATATATTTCATGTTTCCAAAATTTAGGACAAATTTAAGATAAGAATCCTTTCCGGTTTATACTCACGGTAACACGGATTTTGGACTTGAGGCTGACCAGTTCCCGTCGGAGTCCCTCTGTCAGCGCGGTGACCGCATGTTTGGTGGCCCCATACATGGCGAACATATCTCCTGGAGGTATATGGCCGAGGATGCTGGGTTGCAGAAGTAAAGTATAATGAGCTGTACGCAGATTGTGATGGCACATTATTTGTGAAGGTTCATTACCGTGTTCACAAGAGCCCTCCACTGGTCCCTATCTTCAGCCAGATCAACGCAGTAACCACACCACCCTATTCTGTTTCTCTAAGATCTGTTTTAACATTGTCCACCCACCTACGACTTGGTCTTCCAAGTCGTCTCTTTCCTTCTGGCTTTCCCTCCAATATCCCATATGCATTCCTCTTCTCCCTATTCGTGCTACATATCGTGCCCATCTCATGCTCCTTGACTTGATCATTCTAATTGTTCTAGGTGACGAGTACAAGTTATAAAGTTCCTCATTGTGCAGTTTTCTCCCACCTCCTCTCAGTTCATCTCTCTTGGATCGAAGTATTTTCCTCTGCACCCTTTTCTTAGACACCCTCAGTCTATGCTCTTCCCTTAATGTCAGGGACTATTTTTCACACCCATACAGAACCACAGACAAAATTATACTCTTGTATATTATACTTTCTGTGTTTTTAAGGGAGTAGATATAAGTTTCTTGACTGAATGGTAGCAAGCATTACGCGAATTTAGTCTCCTCTTAATTTCCTCCTGAATCAGATATTGAATTGTTTCTGTTGTTCCCAAATATCTGAACTGTGCCACATTTTCAAAACATCTGTTCCCTATCTTTGTCATTTTCTTTTTACCTGCATTTTGATGACGAGACAGTAACATATACTTAGTTTTCTCTGTGTTTACTTCTAGACCAACCTACTTACTTGCATCAATTAACGTTTCTGTGTTTTTCTTTATGGTATCTACATTATCACCCAGCTGATTCACATCATCAGCATAGACTAACAGTTGATGTGTTCCATTTAATTTCAGTCCCACCTGGTTTCCCTGGACCTTCCTATGGCATGTTCTAAAGCGAAATTGAAAAGCAGTGGCGATAAAGCATCTCTTTGTTTTAGACCATTCTGGATAGGAAGTTTATCAGACAAATGTTTACCTATACGGACTTCACTATACGTTTCGTTTAAACACATTTTAATCACCTTAACTAGTTCCATGGGTACCCCAAACTCTATCAGATTATTGCAAAATACTTCATTCCTAGCTTGAAATCTACAGATAGCTAATGTACTGTCTTATGGTACTCCCATTTTTAACGAAAGCAAAAATCTGATCAATAGTTGATCTGTTACGTCGAAACCCACACTCATGACCCCCCAATAATTTCATCTATATATGGACTTAACCTTGAGAGAAGAATATTGGATAAAATTTTGTATGTAGTTTGTAGGAGTGGTATACCACGATAATTACTACAGTCAGTTTTATCACCCTTCTTGTGAACTGGTGTAATAATAGGCTTCTTCAACTGATCAGATTTTTTTCCCTATTAAAAATAAAACTAATCTTACATAGCTTATGTGTCTAATGTAATATTTCACCTCCTGCTTGAATGCGTTCTGCAGCAATTTGACCACTTCCTGGAGATTTATACCTTTTCAACTTTAGAGTAGCAATTTCAGCCTCAGAAGGGCGAGGATCGGTCACTAACGGCTCAACTATATATATTTCCTTCTGCTTCGTCATGAGTGCAAAAAATACTGAACGCTTCTTGTACGTGGAAAGAAAAGCAGCAGTAACTTCTGCTCAATAAGATGCCTAAAGAGCCAGTTTCTATGGAAAAGAGCTGTATGTGTTGGTGCTTGAAACTTCGGTTGGCATGTTTGCAAGAGCAGAAGAAACTTCTAGTTCTTGTGAGGGAACATTTGTTCTGTCGAATGTGAGCGAAGTTTTCTAGCCTTTCCTATTAAAAACTCTTAGTAAGGGATTTAAGATTTTCACCGTGAGATGCCGGTATGGTCAGATGCAGTTGGAAACACGATTACCTGTGGATCGTGAACGATTTCGTACGACGTTACCTGTAGGCCAGTGAACATCTGAACTCGACTGACAAGAAAGGCAACTTAACTTACAATTCACAACATCTGCCTGACGCACCTGTTGATATGTATGATATGTCCATCGTCCACTCCTCTCTCCTTCATGGACTGGAGCGCTTCTTTGGTGCACACGCTGAGACCCAGCACGTTGAGGTCCAACATACCCTTAAGTTCTTCTGTTGGTGAACCTGGGAAAGAAAGATGCGAACGTTAAAGGTTTCTCATGTAACCACGCCGTAAATTCGCTCTGATTTATCACAATTAAATGAGCCACAGAAAAACGGGGATGAAGATATGAATTTACGACGGAATCAGAGATTATTCTGAAAGAGAACTGTGTTTTGGCGCGAAATGCCTTGTAGTCCGGCCACATCTGAGAACATAGTACTCATCACATTCACTGCTGTGAGATCCTAAAGCAAGCGTGGATTGTTTTCTTTGGCAAGGCTTCCAGAGCAGATCTAGACCCCACCCCATCTTTAGTTCTTTGGATACTGATGGTTTCTTCTTCAGGTGTAAAGTGGCGGAGGGTGGTGTTAGCTACTTACCTCCACTTTGTGCCGAGGTTCACAGTGTTTGGAGCCATACTTTCATTCTCTTATACATTTAATTGTTGAGTTAATTTATTCTCTGGGCATAACTAATTAAACCCTACTCAATGAATTTATGGGGGCTATGGGAGCTATCCCAGCTCCTGTGCGCCTTCATAATACAATTCTTAAATAAACAGCCCAACATGTTTAAAATAATGCATATAGGATATTGGTGGGAGAGCCAAAAGGAAAAAGGGAATTAGGAAGACCAAATCTTATGTGGATACATAATAATAAAATGGGTTCGTGTGGACTGGACTGATCTGGATTAAGATAGGGACCGATGGTGGACTCTTGTGGACACTACAATGAAAACTCGGGTTCCATAAGTGTTGGGATGTTCATGAGTGTCTGCACAACTGTCGACTTCTTAAGAAGGGCTCAGCTCCATGAAGTCAGTTTACATGTCTAAATTATCGACAGTTGCTATGGAGACTTACTAGTAAGAGGGGTAGTATACGCTACAGCAGCATTATTGACGAGGATGTCCACTCCTCCGAGATTGGCCTTGACCCACTTGAAGGCCGCCTGAACATCTGATTCCTTGGTGACGTCACATTTCACCGCATGCAGTTTGCCCTTCGCTGACTTGAGAGACTTGGCCAGTTCCTGAAACATGGCAGCAATCACTATTGAAAAAAAAAACAAAACAAAGAAGGGCCAATTTGCATTTACATGGCATTGGTTAAATCTGTATTGATATTTAATATCTTCAGGTTGCCTCTACAGTCTGTAGTGACTGAACGATGACCTCATCATTTGGCAGTTAATAACATGACATACACACAATGCCGTTGAAAATTGAAGAGGAAAATTTTGATTTTCTACATTAACCATCGCGTCACTACGTTCTTCAGCCCCTTCTGTGTTACTGTTTCCAGTCCCTCTTCTTTGGCAATCGTGTTCCCATTGCTCCTTCTCTTCCTTCACGTTAATGTAGTGTGGCTGTAGTTATATAGATACATCTGTTGGCAGTGCGAACATGCGCAGCAGATGGGGGTGGGCTCCAGTGACTGGAGACTGTGAATTTGGTCGGGATCCCACGGTTTCGCATGGGAGACGGGGGAAGTTATTTGACCACCTGTATAAGTATCAGTTGCTCAAGAGAGACAGTGTTCGTTTTGTGGGGGAGAAAAATGATTATTTGAAATTTTTACACAGTGGTTCAAAATTTGATTGCACAATAGTGTAAACTTATGTCAGACAAGTATAAATTATTACGAAAAGTTCCTTGTATTCGACTTTTTTCTTAGAGCATTTATCACTTCCACAAATTTGTTCTGTGATGTCCTCGTGTAACATCAGTGGAGTCACATCTGTCCCATCCTAACGGCGGCAACACCTGCAAAATTCCGTGTTTGCAGTTTATTAAGGGTTTATAGTGGACGGTGCGATGCACGTGTTTCTTTACGTAACCTCACAGAACGAAGTTTCCCGGTGCAAGATCGGGTGACCGAGGGGGCCGTGCAGTTGAACACGCTTCACCAGTACGTGTACTTACACTGGGGAAGGTCTGTTTTCTGGAACATTCTGTTTTTTCGCTTTGCCACGGCTGTGACACGTGGCAACGTTGTTGGCTTATAGCTTGCTGAATTCTGCCGAATTTAGAAAGATGTCTGTATGACATTATGATACTGGATATTATAAAAATATTCATACATACCTCGACTCTCTCGACTCTGCGTGCTAGTCCTGCCACCTTGAGCCCCTTCTTTGTCAGTTCTGCAGCGATGGCTGCTCCAATACCGCTGCTGGCTCCTGTCACCACGGCAACGCGACCTGACCAACGCTCCATTCTTCTGTATACAGTGTGTCCTGTAAGCATACGTTAACTGTATTTAGTAACAGTTGACGAGAGGACGCTGGAAGTTTTGTGGCGTCTTATAATGACGCTGCAACTTCCCTGTCTGTGTATACCCTTTCTTTGCTAGTAAACGGCTCGGTAAACACGTTCTCCCTGAAAAAAGGCTTGTTGGAGACGTCCTTCTCTATAAGCCCCATGTTATTTCAGTGGAAACTAAGTGATTATTTGTAGACCGCGCCATAGCTCAAGTGGTTAGTCGCTGGCGTCCCACCACGACGGTCCGGGTTCGATCACGGGTCTGGTCAAGTGGGATCTGTGGTGGACAGAGTGGTGCTGGGGCATGTTTTATCCGAGTACTTCGGTTTCCTCTGCCAATCTTCATTCCACCAAATTCTCCATCATCATAATCACCCGGGGCTGGCTATAATTGGCCAATCAGTGGCCGCCGTGCCGAGTGGAGGTAAATAGTTATTCCCACAAATTATTACTAACGTTATATTTCTCAAGCTGTACTGAAGTATGGCCATTTATTTGTATGTAAGAGTCTCCAATATGCGGCCGCACTGATGTGAGGAAATTAAACCTGTAAAGCATCATATTTATCCAGTGCAGATTTATCTCACGAGCCCTTTTTGATGAATCTAATAACGCTTTGGACGAGGGTTTGCAGTGCTGTAAATTTTTCTAACGTATAGTTTAAGTCTCGCAGAGTCACGATATTGATTTTTATTTTACACAAGATTTGTTTAATGTACAGCTAGATATCCGTGCTGTGATGTAGCTTCATGCGGACGTTCACGTGCTAGCTCCAAAGGATCGGTAGTTATCCCCACCCATACCGGAAATTACTGATAAATACGGCCGCTGCATGTCGTATTTTGCAAATAAATTACGATAACACATAATGAATGCTGCCATATTATGTACTGTTTACGTGCTTAACTAATTAACCACTACGGCGTGACGCATATGGGGAAGTGGATGTGTAGAGACACGTACGTATTATTTCATGTCGCCAATTCATACTTTCTCTTGCTGATTTTATTTCTGGTACCTTTTATTCCGCAAAATCTGAACACACACGTCTGTTAAGGATAGAGGTTGCACATCATCGGCCGTAACAATAACAATTTAAAAGACGCCTGAGAAATAGAAACAATTTAGAAAGAAAGTTACCACTGTGATATTATTTAATATTAGGTACACAAACACATTTCAGACACTCACACTCAGGAAAATTTCGTCACTCAGGAGTGAAGTTCTAACTCAGTAGCTCCAGGCGTGGTGAGCACGGTAGTGTAACGCGAAACTTGCTTTCAGCTGCCCTCCGTGAAGCAGACTGTTTAAAACAGGGTCCTTCATCTCTTATATACATACCGCCCTCTGATGGAATTCAGATACTGTTAACTAGGTCTATTCTCCTATACAACTTAAATGAAACATTCAACTTTATTGCAATGCAAGTCACGCTGTTACGCAAGCCAGGCTTGTCACCGCGTAAAATGCAAGTCAGCACTGCTCAGTCACTCATGGAGCTGAAACCTTCTTCAGAAGCCGTGAATTGTGCAACCACTCAAGAACTTCCCAGTATAGTATGGAACCCGAAGGTTCATTACCGCGTTCACAAGAGCCCTCTAATGAGTCAAATCGATCTAATTCATACCATTCCATCTTATGTCTCTAAGATCTGTCTTAATATTTTCCATCCACCTACGTCTTGGTCTTCTTAGTGGTCTCTTTTCTTCTGTCTTTCCCAGTAATATCTTAGGTCGATTCCTCTTCTCCACATTCGTGCTGCATGGTCTGCCGATCTAAACGTCTTTGACTTGAGCATTCTGACTATACTTTTCGAAGAGTAGAAGTTATGAAGCTTCTCATGATGTAGTTTCTCCAACCTCCCGTTGTTTCATCCCTTTTCCATCCAGATATTCTCCTCAGCAGTTTGCTTTCAAACACCCTTAGTCTTGATTCCTCCCCTAATGTCAGAGACCAAGTTTCACACCCATTTCTGTAGGTTCTGTATGGGCGAAAAAAAAAATACAAAAGTAACAGCAGGTATTACTCATCGGAAGGGAGTGATGTTGGATACCTTTCCTAACAGTGTGTTATTTTTGCCGCAATTCGCTACTGACACTTATGCCAAAGGCGGCAAGTTTCGGAAGGTGTTCCCGGCTTCAATTTCGTTGCAGCATCGGTTCACCTGACGGAGACCAAATCAAACTCTATGTATATATTCCAGAAACTCCGTGAGAGTGGTTGAACAACTCCCAGAGTCGAGATACACAAAAATGTTATCATTCCCGCCGGAACGGGAACCAAGAATGGCTGTGCTGGCGAGGCCCAGCAGTATTTCACCCGACACGAAAACCCGAAACGTTCCATGTGTACACCACGTAAAAACTGGACCCTTGTGTTTATTCTGATATTGGATCCTCACATCTTGAGGATGTGGGCAGTGTTGCCTACGTTTCGGAAGTAAATGCTGCCTCCATCTTCAGGGTCTAACTGCAACCATACCTCGTAGAAAATTTATGCGTACATGAACAACCTCCCTACTCAATTCGATCATGAACATAGAAACACCACGAACTTCCGAAACGTCTTAAACATTGCCCGCGTGCTCACAGTGTAAAGATGCAAGAGCAATATCAGCATGAACAACAGCCCACCCTGATAACTTGGGAGAGAGTCCATAGCGATCCTGCTAGACTCTGTATCTGCTCGGGATTTTTAAGCTTCCGCTGCGAATGAAGACAGAATTCCCTCGGACCGTGAGCCGCGTTAATATTGAGCTAGAAACCAACGTGTTGGAGACATATTGGGTACGGCTCGAAGTTCTCCGTGTAATTCTTGAATGTTATGGAGATATTTAAGGGACTCTGTCATGCTTCTTAAAATTTACTGTAATGAGTAAGATTTTGCAAGATGAAAAATCGTTCGTCATAACTGTGAAACTCGGTGTTCGAAGGAGAGAAGATAACACAAGAGTTATCTGTTGTGAGCAAACAGAACCGCAGAGGGGGCCCAACCACTCTCTGATACTGAGAAGGCTTTTTATCCTGTGCAAAAAACAGAACAGTATACACAAAATAATTTATCTCCATCACTGAAGACATCAAAAGGAAATAGAACACACTCGTACACCATTTGCATGCGTAAAACTCCCAGACCATGTGTGTACGTAATTAAAACAACGCAGACCCCCTGAATACCCACCCCTCTTCTTCGCGATGCATCGTCATAGGCCGTCAAAATTTTAATTCGATTTTAATTTCTGAGTTAGGTTTATATATTTTAAAATTCATATTCATATTTGTAATGAAATTTATATTTATGAACGCTAATATGGATTTATATTAGCAATAGAGTTCAATACGACTGCATGTTTCATGAAAATTTGCCTGACGATTACTAAGCTGGATCGAAACGTATGCATAACGCACAAATATACAAATATTAATATACGTGTAGTAATATTTGATTTTTTTATTACGAATTTGTTGTTTTGGCGAACTATGATAATACTATACATTAATACATAACAGGATACAAACAATAAAGATAATTCATACACGTCACAATATTTTCACGTAGCATCGAGTGATTCTCGACGGGTTTGCACTTGATATTGGATTTATTGACCACTTTAGCACGCAAAGCCTAATTGCGTACATATAATTGCAGCGCAAATGATGATTTCCACACGTTACAAGTCTTTTCCATCCCACAGTTTTCTTCACAAGTAGTTGCCTTGTAAGGGCTTTTAACAATAATTAGTTCTCTGCTTCCGGAGTCAAGTCTTCTGTGGACGTCGACTCCCTTCCAACCGTCTCTTTTCTTCATAGATTTGGTTTAGCTGCTCCAGTTATCTTCCTTGTAACTCCGCGGCAGGGACCGCATATAGAACACCGTCTGCAAACGTACGTATATTTTTGCATGCATATCCTTTGCCGCGGGAACATGTTTACCGAGCCGTTGCCGAGAAACGCCTCTGAACTACTTCGTTATCTCGCGGTCGGACAGATGTTTTAGGTACGGATGAAATTCACTCACTCACTCGTGGAGCTGAGCACCTTCTAGAGAAACTGCCAATTGTGCAACCACTCAAGAATTTTCCATGATTTTATGGAACCAGAACATCCTTTACCGTATTCACAAGAGCCCTCCACTTGTCCCTATCCCGAGCCAGATGAATCCAGTCCATACCACCCCATCCTATCTCTAATATCCATTTTGAGCATTGTCCACCCACCTACGTCCTAGTGGACTCATTTCTTGTGGCTTTCCCACCAATATCCTATATGCATTCCTCTTCTCCCCATTCGTGATACATGCCCTGCCCATATAATCCTCCTTGACTTGATCATTCTAATTATAATAGGCGAAGAGTACAAGTTATGAAGCTCATCGTTAAACAGTTTTCTCCCAGCCTCCTGTCACTTCATTGCCTAATCAATGTATCACATCACATAGTGCACAAAGTTAGGGGCCTTAATTACATCGAGAATGACTGATGGTGAATTTTTGAAGGTCACAAACGTTAATATCTAGATAAATATAACTGTAGGAGGGGAAAGGTTGGTATGGTAATTATCTCGTTTCTGTTAAAGGCCATGCTGCCTAGGAAATATCGTCTTTTATTATTTATTTGTACAGGATACAGTGAATTCTTATGATTAACAATTGTGACATTTTAGAATTACATTCAGTTGCAAGACAGGAGTTGTTACAGAATCAAATTACAAAAATCGGTTGGGCAAGTAACATATTATTACGTAATCAATCCCGACGCATCAACGCAGAGGAAGCGTGTCCAGGATATTTCAGATGTTCTGTCCAACTGGTATTATACTCAGTTCATGTATCTGTAAAGAAGAGAACATTACAAATCAATACGTCGTTTCGAAGACGTGAGAAATTACCGCACTAGTTTTATTGATGAGAACTTTTGTTATGACTTTCTATCCGCAGTGTCTTCCAGACCGGTGATTCACATGTAGGGTTGTGCCTCTCTGGTGGGTGAAGAGGGTTGTGGGAGGGCAGGCGGAGTGTGGGGCATGAGAAAATGGCAGGGAATGAATTTTCAATGTCGGACTCAGCTGAAATATTCATTTGTAGCTCAACTCTTCCTTAAGCACATGTCGGAATTATTATTTTAGGTACTAAGGAATTAGGGCTATTAGATTTCAATACATTTTGGTGCTGTCCATCACGAAATGGAGAACACCGTGCAGCATTTTCATTTTCATAACTTGAATGTTTTCTTCAATATTTTTTTTTATTACTAGCTAAGATTCCATTTGTATACTTGTATCAATAGCTACATTTATTTCAGTAAAAAGCTGAAGTCATGTTTTGTGGAGGGAAAAAGGGAGCATCATGCCAGAAAGCTTCAGATCCGCCGCCCTGTACCAACATGATCAGTTTCATAGTACCTATGGAGGACCGCAGGATACACCCATCCGGACCCTAACATGAAGCATGAAATGTTCAGACAACTGCAGATCAACAAAAATACTAAGTTTATAGACGAAGAAATAATATTTTGGAATGGCCATGCTGACAGTATGGGCTCAGACAGAATTCGGAAAAGTGTTACGTCATCGGCCTGAAGGAACAGTAACTGAGAAGACTTCTCAAACGGTGCAATGGTTCTGTTTTGTAGTATCACAACAGGTCTCAGTAGGCAACTTCCTGCAACGGATGGCAGTAGTAGGATCAATATTTTTTGTGTGACCCTAGATCTCTGTCAGTGAAGTGTGACTTGAGATGGTCAGCGCAGAGACCTTTAACATGACGCCAAAGAGATCTTCGTTAGATACGTAACGATAGTTTGGGGAAACTTGCTGCTTCCGTCATCACGGTAGAAGATAGAAGATTGAGGCATTTTATGCCCCTGAAACAGTGGCAGCGTCCCACAAGACAAGTTTCTTGACACAGGCTCCATTACCGGGATTCGATTACCAGCAGAAGCAGAGGGTTCTCCCTTCATCAGAGATTTATAACAAGATGACTGCACGTATTGGTGGCGATTAGTTGCAACCTCTGCCGGAAGTTCGCCTATCCCGATTAATCTTTGCATGGAGTCCCTGCAGGAAAATGCTGGCACCCTTTCTTTAAGTTCCTTCCAGTTCATCAGTCATTTGCTGTCCTACCATTCGCCGCTATACAGTCTAGCTACAGACAGCCTCGTAGAGTGACTCACAAAATAAACGGCAACTTCTGATGATGTTCTTATAGCTGAAGCTTGACGAATTACTGAATAAGTTCTGACTAATCCGAACTTTGCCTGCTTTTGGTTGTGTATATTGAACTTCAACACACCGCCTTTGCAT